AAAATAAAATATTAATAAAATGATATGCAAAATTTAATAGAAGATCATTACTTTATTGGTGAGAAGTTTCTAATAAGCCCTCCCAGTTCCTCTGTATACAGAACAAATCTGATACTATAATCAGAATTGCTCAGTCTGCATGAAGCAGCCGATTTCATCAAGGAAGTTCTATTAACAACCAAGAATTAATCGTTTGAGGCATACTGAAGTATTAAGAAGGTGATATGTGTCACTATAGGAAATCATCATCGTTGCAAATATAAAGAAATTAAACATAACCCTTTGCTTCAGTACCGTCAACCTCCATGTCCATGGGGAGGGAATTCAATGTCCTTCTGATTTTGAATTCAGAAAATCATGGTTTTGGAGATTCTATGGAAAATTAAGTCTTACATAATCTGTATTCAATATTGGTGGGTCGCGAGCTTTTAAAATTGCTTAAAGTGGGTCACAATGTACTAAAGCTAAGTAACAAGGACTAAAATGTGTTCCTTTGATTATTGAAAAATCCTGTTCCCCTTGATTGAAGTAGTCAGGACTAGGAATCGGTGCTAGATCTAGTAGTAGTAGTAGAAAAGGTCATCTACCCTCGTAACGGGGCAAGCACTGACAGTACAAAAAGGTTTTAAAAAAAAAGTTTAATTATATTTTCCATGCAGACAACTATAAAGTTATTTTAAAACTTAAAGTGATACTCACTTTCAAGTTCCATAAAGTTCAAATAAAATTCCAACAGAACCTTCACGGTCCATAAAGTTCAAATAAAGTTCTGACAGGACTTTCTTACCAAGCAACCAAAAGTTTCACATTCCACGATAAAACCCTCTTTGACGTTCCATAAAGTGCATATTAAAGCTGCCTTAGAAGCTATAGAAAGCACACTGGGAACTTCAGGATCCAAAAAGATCTGATGCGTACTCTTAGCAACTTGAAGTTCTAAAATAGTACCAAAAGCATTCCTAAGCACTTCTTAGGAACTTCAGGCAAGGCTAAAAACATGACCGCAACAAAATTCCGATCAAGTTATCTGCGGAACTTCTTAGCAACTTGAAAGTTTCTTAAAAGTTCCCCGAGGAACTTCTTAGCTACTTGGATGTTTCTAAAAAGGTCCGTCGAAGCCCGCATGAAGCAAGTCTTTATTAGTAACAAAATGTCATGTACGTAAATTTGAAATGATCCATGCCTCAAATAAATCATAATTCTTATATTTATGCAGTGCATCAATATGCTATTAAAAAATAAAAAATAAAATAAAAGAGCAATTTCTTGGATTTTAATCCGCGCATTCGGCATGCGATCAACGAACGCTAACCACTGCGCCACAAGTGTGTTGGGATACCATGCGGGCAAACACCGATTTACAGTTCATCAAAGTATTGTGTTCCGTATTCAAGTCACTCAGCTGGCACTGAAAACTCCAACAGCTCACTTTTATTCCCCTTGATTTGTTTTCCATCGATTTTGTTTTCCGTGCTACCAACACCAGGGAGGCAGCTCCCACACCTGAACCCTACCTATCGACCCATCAATCAACTCATGAACCGGGGATAAACGGCTTTGCTTCCCTTCCGAAGGAAGGCGTGATTAGAGATGTTATGCCTCAGAACATTCCGACGGCGCTGACTGGGATTGAACTCAGGCCTGCTGGGGTGAGAGGTAATCACGTTTACCACTACACTACCGGTGCCGCTGCAGCTCACTTTAATATATCTCAGATGGCGTAGCGATTTGTGAAAGGGCTCTCACGCAAAACTACTGGGTCTAATTCTTCAAACAGCTCTTAAATACAACTCCTAATGCTGATAAATCAATACAGGTACATATCTGGCTTTAGAATTAACTTTCATACAAGTGCGATCTAAATATAAAATTGGTGTAGAGGACAAAAGCCATTTTTAACTAATTTTCTAAAAGTGCCGTTCAAGTTCCGCCAAAAGCTGCTTAGAATGCTCTTCAATTATGGTACCGTAACTTTCAAGTTGTTATAATGACTTAAAAATGAAGCTGCTTAGAATTCTATAGACCACCCTCAATCAAGCTGCTAAAGCCTCAAATTGCATTTTATCAGAGCTTTTGGTTACTTTATTAATTCCCGTCCGAAGAAAGAAATTACCAGAGATTTTTCACCTCAGAAAATCCCAACGAAATCGGTTGGAATTGGACTCACATCCAGTGGGGTGAAAAGCAGTGGAACTTAGCATTAAGCCAATGGTAACAAATTTTTGCGATTCTAACACATTTTAAGTCCAATCTAAATCTAAAAATCCAAATTAAAGCAGCCATAAACAGGCTAAAATGGTGTGTTGTGGTCATTTTTGCCTGTTGATGGCTGCTACTTCAGCCAGTTGTGACCGCGTTGCATTTTTTCTCTGCTAAAAAGTTTCCAAACAAACGTTTTGATAATGGCTGACAATGATGATCTTTTGGATCACGAAGATGGAGACCAGACCGAGCCGGCCGAACAGCCAAAGAAGGATGTAAAGGGAACGTACGTTTCCATTCACAGTTCCGGTTTTCGGGATTTCCTCCTGAAGCCGGAAATCCTGCGTGCCATCGTCGATTGCGGTTTCGAGCATCCGTCTGAAGTACAACACGAATGTATTCCACAGACGGTGCTCGGAATGGACATCCTGTGCCAGGCCAAATCTGGCATGGGAAATACGGCGGTATTAGTGTTGGCCACGCTGCAGCAATTGGAGCCTACGGAAAACGTTCCGTACGTGCTGGTAATGTGTCACACCCGTGAGTTGGCTTTCCAGATCAGCAAAGAGTACAAACGGTTATCGAAGTATATGCCCAGCATTAAGGTGGCCGTCTTCTTCGTCGGACGAAGAGGTTCTGAAATCGAGTAACCCGCACATTATCGTTGGAACGCCGGGACGTGTTCTGGCCCTTATCCGGAACAAAAAGCTACATCTGAAGCACCTCAAACACTTCATTCTCGACGAGTGCAACAAAATGCTTGAACAATTAGACATGCGTCGAGATGTACAGGAAATCTTCCGCAACACACCGCACGACAAACAAGTGATGATGTTCTCCGCCACCCTTAGCAAGGAGATCCGGCCAGTTTGTAAGAAGTTCATGCAAGATCCTATGGAAGTTTACGTCGATGATGAAACCAAGTTAACTCTCCACGGTCTGCAGCAGCACTACGTCAAGTTGAAGGAAAATGAGAAAAACAAACAGCTCTTCGAATTGCTCGATGTTCTCAAATTCAATCAGGTCGTCATCTTTGTGAAGTCCGTTCAGCGTTGTATGGCCCTGGCGCAGCTTTTGACGGAGCAGAATTTCCCAGCCGTCGACATCAATCGTGGAATGGTTCAGGAGGAGCGATTGTTTTGCTATCAACAGTTCAAGGATTTCCAGAAGTGTGTTCTAGTGGCAACCAACCTATTCGGACGAGGCATGGATATCGAACGTGTCAACATCGTGTTCAACTACGACATGCCAGAAGATTCGGATACCTTCCTGTATCGAGTGGCTCGTGCTGGCCGTTTCGGTACCAAGGGATTGACGAAACCGATGCCAAGATTCTGAACAAAGTCCAGGACCGGTTCGATGTCAACATCACCGAACTGCCGGACGAAATTGATATCTCGTCGTACATTGAAGGACGATAAGTTGACTTTCTGAAACGTATGTCGGAGAGGCACACAAATGCTTTTTTAGTTTATTATATACCCTTTAGTGTAGAAGATAGATCATTAAATACTCTGAGTCAAGTTTTTTAACACGATCATGCGTCACCACCAAGAAACAGAAAAAACTAACATTCGAATAGTTTAAAAATAAACAAACAGTACGATAGAAGGAATTTACATTTTACTGCTTACTCAAACTTGATCCCATAGGTTTAATTCCGGTAAGCTGGATAAGTAATAAAAAATGATTTGGTGAAATTGTACGACTTCAAAAGAAGGATTTTCAGATTTACATTTGTGACCTTCATGCAAAACAATTTTCTCGTGCATCCAATGCAAGGTTGGATTTATTACATCCTCTGCATATGTTTCATACAACAAGTTTTGCCAGAATGCAGATTTTTGTATAAAACCATCACGAGATGAGACTCAATCCATTTGGGCAAACAAACTTTGTTCGAAAAATAAGCTAACATAAAAATTACAAAATTATTTTTAAAACCGCATTACAGAGGTTCCATAACCCCTGAGTTATTATTTTAAAAACAACGTACTGTGCTCGCCCATCCCATGAAAAAAGGGAACTTTAATTGCCGTACAAAATTAACTAACTTCCATCATTTGTGTCGGATGAGTAAAAAAATACGAAAATTGAACCGGAAACACAGCCGTCGTTCTCCGTCCGGTGTGGGTCGCATCTTTCCTTCCGAAAAATGAACATTAAAAATTCATGTAACGTAATTTCCGTTAATTACCTTCCCGGATGGTTAATTGGAAACCATTGCCAGAGTCGTCTCGAGAAGACGTAATTTGAATATAAATCGTTTTAGTACCCACACCATTAACAAATCCACTCGCAATTCGCACTCCGCCAGCCTGGGATGCGTGCGTATGCTCCGGTCTGTAAAACTTCTCTCATTTTGGGCCCTGTGTTGATTAAAAACCCTCACCAAAATCCTGCGAATTGGCCATAATTTTGTGAAAGCGAATCGAAAAATCTCCCATCCTTCATCTTTGAAGCTGATCCTAATTGACGTTCCAACATTTGGCATACCGTAAAACCAACCTTTTGCAATATTAAACAGCTTCCAGCAGGTAAACAGTGTGGAGGCTTCTGCCATACGCTGCAGAATTTAAACAATCCCTCGTATCAAACGTTCGGTTACTAGGCACATATCAGATTCCGCCCACTCAGTGAAATGAAAACCACCTCATCACCGTAAACTGCCCGGCGTGAAACAGTTGCTACTAGTCTTGGCCCTAGTTAATTTCGTCCTGTTACTCATACTCAACTCAACTACACTTGTGTCGAATGAAATCCCTTAACCGTATCGCCATATTCTCCACCGATTGCAGATGGGAATTTCTCAGACTTTCCCTTCATCTATATGACACGTAAGTGAATCTCGAACGCAGCGACGCAAATGCGTAAACTTTCCACTAACGTGGGCCCTTTAATTTTTAACTACCCGTGGCATTGACGATGTCTTCTTTTTCTTATTTTTACAGATCCACCGGAAATCATTCGGAAACCAACGAACCAGGGAGTCCGGGTTGGAGGCGTGGCGACGTTCTTCTGCGGAGCGAGAGGTGATCCACAGCCAAACATTGTTTGGAGGAAAAATGGCAAGAAAATAATGGGTAAGTTGCTTTTCGGTTTGCTTTCCACGGAATCGAAATTTCGGTCGGATTGATTGTTTTGTTTCAATTAAAACCAGACAGCTTTCCAAAGTTGGCAAACAGAACATTTCTTACCTGTGTTTTTCAAATGAAAAAGGAAAACAGTGGAAAGTACATGAATTATTCGCAATTGTTTCTTGAGGTAAATGCAATGGCAGATCGACTGTAGCAAACATCCAAATTTTGGTACAATTAATATAAACGTTTAGTTAACCTGAGTCAATTTCTTTGTTCTTGGAAAGTCATAACAAGTTTGACACCAGTGTTCTTTGAGCACTTCCCAATATGCTAATCAAAATATTTTTAATTGTTTGGCAAGTAAAATTATACTCTATGCCCAAGTAAGTCAAGAAGTTTGTAAACTAGACAAATCCCAGGACTGACCCGCATGCTTGGCATACACATTTTTGGTCGCGAGCAGCTCATTTGCTAATAACTTTGAACACAGTAGACGAATCATTGTTCATTTTGAAGCATTAAATAGAATAGAGATGAAGCTTGTTATAGATACGTAAAAAAAAGTAGGTTTTAGTTGTAGTAAACAGCTGTATTTGTTTTTGCGTTGCCAAAATGAAGTGAGAAATGCTTGCTACACATCTCGTACTTTTAGTTTAAAAATTCAATGGTGTTAAGATTTAACTACTCTTTGCATGTCTATAGTAAACTATGATCCTTCTCTATCAATTACTTCAAGAAAACCTAATGTCAACTACTGAGCGAAAACTGTTAACAAATGAGCAGTTGGTATATAAAAGTGTGCATGCCAAGCATGTTGGACCGGGAATCGAACCCCACTGTCTCCAGCATAGCCTTGCTTTAAAGCTGCGCCTTTACCGAGATAAGGGAGGTCCCTTGCAGAGAGATTGATAACAAATGTGGCAATTATTATAGAAAAGATGAAAATGTTTGCTTGGTGTAAGTAGTTACAATTATTTTTCGTGTTTGTATCAAGGTTGCAAAGACTCATTTCAGCTAAAATAATGTTTTTCGGAATAATAAAACCAAAAGATGGTATGATGGCATGTTTTACTTGTAACTTACAAGAAGAGGTTACAAAGTATGCGTTGGAAACATAAAACTTGTAAATTTTGCTTTCTATGAGTCACAATCAGCGATTTGCTGATCGCTGAGTGAGTGAGTGAGTGAGTGAGTGAGTTTGTGATAAATCGCTGATTGTGACTCTCATTAAGTGAAATAAACAGGTTTAATATGTCAAACACATTCTTTGCAACCTCTTCTTGTATCCTACCAATTCAAAATTTGATCATGGCATCTAATTATTTCAAAATTTAGAAAAACATTGTTTTAGCTGAAATGAGTCTTTGCAACCTTGGTTTGTATCTGGAAATAGAATTAATCAATTTTACATTTACAATTGATTGACTTTTGGTAGACAGTAGACAACGTTAAGTCAAGAAATATCTTCTATTAGCCAGCGGGATGCTCCAGGCTCCAAATCCCTTGCGCGATTATTTAATTAGATGGAACTAGATTTTGCGCATGTTTTGTTCTTGAGTTGCTGATTGCATTTCCCTTTATTACCGGGTGTGATCTTGATCGCTCGTGATCTATTGTTCGGTTTATACTATTGAGCCAGACTTTTGTTCACGCGAGTGAGGTGTGTTCGTAAAAGAATAGACACCGTTAACTCGTTCGGCCTATAGTCACTATATTCTATATAGTCTGGCGGATAGAATTCCGATCTATCAAAAAGCGGAACCAGTTCAATATAGTTTAGACCAACAATTGAAAAGGTACTATCAACTTTTATAAACAAAACGTTGATTATACTTTCCTCGCCAATCGAACGCAAATTACCGGAATCATTGGATAGGGGAAACTTTCCCCAACCCAAAGATGGTATAAGTTTGCGTCAAGAGAAAAGGGTTTCCGAAGTTTTGTTCGCAATAGCTGATGTGCTCTTTTCTGTTGTTGATCGTGATTTGCTCGATTGGTTCCGCTATTTGACAACTCAATTGGTTCCCGGAATTCCATCCGCCAGACTATGAATAAAGCGACTATAGTTCGGTCATGCAACGCTTTAGGTTGACTCTTGGCTATTTGGAATGAATGACCAAAATTGGCAATGAACAAAGCAAAGCAAACATGAAAATTAAATGGAATGAAAGTTAATCATTTCTAATTTATTGTGTGGCTGTTAGAATGTTTGGGGCGCTTGCCTTATGCAGAATGTATACATTTTTTAATAGACAGATTGCGGGTCATTTTATCCCATTTCTGGATCAAATCAATGCAGGTGGTGCAATGTAAATTCATGGAGTATTAATCCGCATCATTTGCCATCGATCATATTGATTTGGTGTATTCGTTCCAGAAATAAAATATTATACAGACTTCATTACGCGCAAAAATTGGTCGACAAAAAAATCGTTTCTTTCAGTTAAAATTCATATCACAAAAATCTTCTTATTTTTCTTTTGGTAGTTCAATTCATATAGTTAAAGGAAAGAATGTTCGTTTCTTTTTTGGTTTGCCGAATCCGAACTGCCGTGCGATCCGCTTAACCCCTTCCATTAAATTTTGCACAGTGGTCTCATCGACCTTATTCGCCGCCGAACGCCAGTTAGTTTTAAACTGCTGCTCGTTTTCCATGGATTTATTAGTTTTTTTTTTTTTTTTAGATTCCGTTTGACCAAGGCCCAATACCGTTCGATAGGGTGGAGTTCTGGGCTATTGGGAGGGTTGCGGTCTTTGGGTACCACAACCACGTTGTTCGCATCGTACCACTCGATTGCTTTTTTACCATAGTGGCAGCTCGCCAAGTCCGGCCAGAACAGCACAGGTCTATTATGTTGCTTTAGGAATGGTAGCAGCCGTTTTTCCAGGCACTCCTGGACGTGGATCTCTTGATTGATGATTTCCATAGTAATGAAAATGCCGGTTTTTAGACCACACTTGCATATGACCTGCCAGACGAGATATTTTTTCGGGAACTTCGATAGTTTGATGGTTTTGAAAATTTCAGCCACCTTTCCTTTTCCTGATGCGGTATAAAACTCCCGTCCCGGATGCTGCTTGAAATCCACCTTCACATAAGTTTCGTCGTCCATGAAGACACAGTCGAACTTTGTGAGCAGATTCGTATACAGCTTTCGGGACCGCTGCTTTGCCGACGTGTTTTGTTTGTAATCTCGGTTCGCCACCTTCACCTTCTTAAACGTCGACAACCCGGCTCGTTTCTTGGCCCGCTGAACAGTAGAATGAGAGACATTGAGCTTGCCAGCGACGTCCCGCTGGAGAGGTTAGGCTTCCGCTTATATTTCACCGCCACCTTCTTCGTCGTCGCTGCCACGTCCGGATTACGATTGCCGGTCGCCAGACGCTCCCCGAACACCTTTAAAACGTTTTGCCAACTTGGCGTGTGAAAACGTCGGATTCTCTTGCTGCGCGAGCAAAATTTTGACACGCTGCTTCTCTTACTAGGATGTCATTTTGAAAACTAGAGAGCAAAAGGTGAAAACTCATCATAGCAACCATTGTATATACACTCAACTTCCAAATGTAGCATTTCAGGGTTTTTTATGCATTTTTAACAGATATACACCAATTTTAAGTTGACCAATTTTTGCGCATTCCAGACTTTAATCACACAATCAAATCCAAACCAACTAAATCGGAGACTTAAAATAACATCATAAACAAATTGCTCAATGTAAAAATATCTGCAACAGATATTGTTCTGCAAACAGTTGCAGAAACACGTAAATTTTTCTGTACAATCAACAAGAATTTTTCAACAGATCATTACCACACTTTAACAGATTATATCCCAAGTAACATTTTAAGTTTTATGAAATACTACAAAGCAACTATAAAACAACATTCTTAAAACCCTGGTCAAGGCTATTTTGTCATTAATGCATCGACCAAAACCTCATTAAGACTAGAATATGTCTAGCTGGCCCACCCTGGAGAAGGTTCTGAAGGGTGTATTCTCGAAGCTCTTCAAGATTGATTTACTGCAAAAGGTTGTATGACGAACGCATTGAGAACCATTTGATAACTACAACAAAAGCTATTTAGCAACAATAAAAACCCTTTGCAAGCCATTTCCCCTATAGCCGCTTGCTAAATCCACTAGGAAAGCATCAATCAAGGTAGAAAAGGATTTATGAATCCGATCTTATCAAAATAATTAAAATAGAAACTGATGGTATAAAAATCGTGTTGCACTTCCAAATCTAATGCAGTAGTTTTCATTAAGTGGCCTAGTTTTAAGTGCCTTATTAAATGTTATGTGAAATGTACTTGAAAACATAGAAAAAAATAGGTCCGCTCTCGTAAAACGTCGATTTGACTAATTATTTTACATTGAAAAAAAAATTGTTTTTCAGATCGAGCTAGGCTGAGATTTTTTTTATTATTTTCGCATTTAAATGTTTGCTCATTGCTAAAATTATCAAAATAAAGTTGTATCCAAGGAAATATAGATTGAAAATTGAAGATTGTAAAAAACAAGCAAACTTACTTTAACATGGCGATGGCATAAAACATGATTTTCATGGGTCATTTGTGATAAAGTTGTTTTGCTTTTAAGAAATCATTAACAAATTCTTAAGGTTTTAAAATGGCTTTTATGAAGAAAACTTGCAGGCTGAATTGTATTTTTCTAAAGCCATTTTGCTTGATCCTAACCCATTCAGATTTATGGCCGCATTTATGGAGGCAAAGTTGCCTGCAAAAGTTAAACGTCAAGGTTTGTTTATCTTTCGATAGTTGCGCTGTGAGATCCAGGATTCTTCCAGGCGGTTTTCTCCCGATGGATTGGGAGCAGTTGCTGAGATAGTTTGCGGTACTGTTTTACAACATTTCGCATGCAGGGATGTACGCTTGAATGAAATTTTCGAAGAGTTGATTTTTTCGCCGAATAAAATCGCTGCTATCGATCGGAAACCAGCTAATCTCTTTTAATTAACAGTTTCAGTGGTTTGCTGCAGGCT